ATCACACACTTCTTCGCCGTCAAAAGCATCTTCGTCGCTTCAACAACTGTTTCTTCGTAGCTTTCGTGCTTCTCCACAAGTTTTTCAGACACGGTTTGGAACCGGTTTAGTAATGTCGAATTCACTCTCTCCGATATCTCTTTGATCAAACCTTGATATGTTTCGTGTGTTGTTGCTATTTTATCCTTGAGCAATGCTTGTTCCTCTAAATGCTTCGCTTCTATTCTCTTCGACTCTTCTTCTTTCTCCGTTAACACTTGTTCGGTTACTCTCAGTTTCTGGTTCGACATACGGAGTTTAACCTCGATATTACTTATTTTTTCCATCAAACTCTCAATCTCTTCTCCTTTCATCTCTACTTGGTTACGTAGACTCTCCATCGTCTCTTTAAGATCTACAATCTCGGTTTCCCTCGATGTAACATCTTTACCAGTCTCTTGCATTCTCCTCTCTGTCTCCTCCAGCTTCGACATGTACTCTTCCAACATCTCTCGAGCTTGTTTGTAATCGTCCGTTAGCTTCTTGATTGTTGCTTCTCGTTCTTCGAACAAACCACTGATCTGTTTGTATTCTTGGCTTAGCGTGTTGTACGCCGCTTCTTGCTCTAATAACGCTTTCTGCACATCGTTGATCTGATTCAGTAACGTTGGTTTCTCCTGCTTCTCTCTCTCCAGCTCTGCTTCGGTTTCGTTCTTATCCGCCTGTAGACGGTTATTTTCTTCCAGTGTAGTCTCGTGATCTTTCACCTTATTCGCCATTTCGTCCCTTAGATTTGTAATCTCATTCACATACTCAGAAACTTCTTGAGACTTCTTCTCAAGCTCTGCTTCCAATACATCTCTCTCTCTCTTCACATCTTCAAGCTTCTGATTCAGATTGGATTCCGTTGCTAACTTCTTTTTCAGATCAGCAATTTCAAGATTTGCAGCTTCGATCTGTTTATTTACCGAGTCCATGTCGTTCCCAACCCTCCCGTTTCTCTTGCTCTTCTTGTCTGAATCCGAGTCTGAGCTCGATGAAGAAGAGCTTTCGTTATGAACTTTGTTCCTGATCTCTCCTGTAAGATCATCGTATTGGCGATACAACGCCTCATACTCTTTGTAGAATTCCTTCACTAACTCCGCAACCACTACTCTTTTTGATTCATCTTCCTCAATATCTCCACTCTCAACAATTCCCAAGATCTTCTTCACTTTTTCATCTACTTCTGCATTGTTGATCAAAGTATTAACTTCATTTTAAACAAGTCCAAAACCAAAAAGACCAAATCCAGGACAAAGTGTAGAGAACAGTAGAAGTAAACAAGCAAGTGTAGAGAAAATTTACCTGTTTTTGTTCCTTTGAGCAATTCATCATTATCAAGATGAAGATGAGGTTCAAAGAAAGATTTCAAGGAGTCTCTGATACTATGCTTCCTCATTTCCTCTTCAGTCTCTCCAATCAATCAAAACAAGTGTTGAGATTTGGAACTAAAAAGTCATCTCTCCATCAAGCACGATCTTTTTGTTTGCAGAAATTTCACAGAGAAAGACATGTGAGAAGAAACTCAATAACTTGTTCATATCAAATGGAAATATTTAATTGAAAAAGAGACCCCATCACTTTCATGTTTAGCAAAATATCAAAAGCTAAAATTAGTAAACTAACTAATAGTCTATATCAATTGGATGGTAACAGAAATGAAATAAAAAAAGTAGATTGACTATTATTCAATTGGAGCCTGAAATGACCGAACAAATAGAGAATTGAACTACAATATTTAAATTTAGAAGTAATATTATTATATGCCTCAAAGTCTAAGTAGATACACAAATCTCAAATGCATTTTCACATCAGAATAAAGATACATACCAAATGTGATATTTCTTACTAATTATACAAACTTGGTAATCAAATGTGTCTAACCTGAAATGAAAATATCCATAATTATCACTCTTTTTTGGACGATTATCGCAATAATTTCTCTTCTAATCGAATCTGAGACTTACTATAATACTCTCTATTAATGCATTATTTGGTCTTATAGTTAAGAAATCTAAAAGTAGTGGAGCCACCGGAGCAACTTTTAGGGAATGGGAACCAGAAAGGCACATATAGAATGATCAAAAAAGACAGCTATCATTTCATTTGAGTTGTTTCTTTTGTTCAGATTTGATAAAACAACAACAATAATAGAGGTATAATAAATCCTTTTACCCAACAAAAAAAAAAAGTAATTATTTTGAGTTTCCCTAACCTTTTTTTTGGTCTTGAAGCGATCCGAATCTAGATTAAATGGATTTGCCTGTAGAATGAAAGAGATTTATAAGCAAGCTTAACAAAGATTCAATTATAAAAACGTTACTTTTATGCATTATGCAGATTCGGAGCATCAAATATGAATTTGGATCATATAAACATTTCAAGAAATGTAAGAACCTTGATTACAAATTCTTTGAGGAACATTAGCAGATACAAATTCAACAAAAAAACATAACCTAGAAGCAAGATTTAGTAAAGAAGATGAATAATCATTCTGATCAAAATCAGAAACTACAGAGTGCGTTAAGGAACTTTGATATAATAGTAACGGATCGAAGAAGAGTTAGGAATAATGAGATGGGTACTTTGGAATCATCGAAGATCTAAACAGAGGAATCTTGAAAGTAGGCCCGGTGAGTCGGAGACTATACCTGGAAAAAGGAGCTCCGGTGAGTGAGTCGGTGAAAGAAACGGAAGCGAGAGAAGAAATGAAGAAAAGTTTTGTGATGTATGCAAATGCAAATAATGAAATAAATTCAATTCAAAGCGACCAAAGAAAAGTTGTTTGGTTTTGGACTTTTTGCGAGAAAACACGTTGATTGATGATGAGCCGCATTTCAGAAATATTACTATCATTTTCAAATACACAAATTTCAAAATAATTTTATACTAATGGTTTGTGTAACTTGTGTTAATAAACAAAAAAATAGAATATATCGCATACAAGAATAGAATAATCACACTATAAATCTATGTTACATGGAAACTCCGTCTGAGGTGCGTTTTCCGTTTCGGAAACGTTTCGAAAACCGAAACTATTGGAAACTCCATGGAAACGCGTTTCCTAAAAAAAATTAATTTGGAAACGCGTTTCCTAAAATATTTTAATTTGGAAACTCAAATGGAAACTTTAATTCCGTTTTGAAAACGTGACGGAAACTCGTTTCCTAAAAATTTTAAATTGGAAACACAACGGAAATGTTCGATTTTGTTTTGGAAATACGATGAAAAATTGTTTCTTACGTAATAATTAAATAGTTTGGAAATGTAAGCATATATTTAATACTTTTTAGATTAAAAACAACAAATTTATGAAAGATTTCGTTTGGTATAGAGGTCAAAAACAACAAATTATTATACTTTTTGCTTTTGTTAAGCTATTTAATAATTATGTATATAATTTGTGTTGTTCAAACAGTTTTAAATCTTGTTTTTGATGTTGTTGATTC